CTCCATCCTCCCATCATTCACCCCCTCCTTCATCCTCCCATCATTCACTCCCTCCTTCATCCTCCCATCATTCACTCCCTCCTTCATCCTCCCATCATTCACTCCCTCCTTCATCCTCCCATCATTCACTCCCTCCTCCACCCTCCCCTCGCTAACATCCACTACAGCCTCCTTCGTGCATTTCTCTGCGTCAGACGGTGCCTCCACCTGGTGCTCATCCGTCGGGCAGCTGTTACTTATCCGCGCCATCGCGTTCGTGCGATCACCGCGACAGCAGCAGCAGCGACAACGACAACCGAGCACGCACGCGCGCAGCGCGGCGCGGTAGTCCGGCATCATGGCGACGTACAGGAAGAAGTTGACGCACGAGTTGACGCCGATCGCGATCGGTTCGGTGAAGAGCAGCGGAGCGACGGCCTGCACGTCGTAGATTCGCAGCAGGATGAGCGCGGCGCAGTAAACGTTCGTCACGACGAAGATGGCGAGCAGCACCAGCAGCATGCGCACCACGTGATCGTCCGCACGGTGGCGCCTCCGCTGCCGCAGCGCGACGCCGAGCTGTCCGCGAAGCCGCCGGTAGCTGACGACGGCGACGCCCGTCGTCGCGGCAACCGCTGCGCACGGCAGCAGCCGGCCGAGTGTTTGGTTGATGGGTTCGAGCACGCGCAGGGTTGGGTCGTATGGGTATACGATCCGCACCCAGTAAGGAATCTCTTTGACGGCGGCGCAGATCGCGGACGCGACGATGACGTGGCGCGCTCGCTCGAGCGTGCACAACACGCGCATGCGCAGCGGCGCGACGATCGCGATGCAGCGAAACACGCTCACGCCGACGACGATGTAGTTAGCCGTGTAGAACGCGAGGTCGCCGACCTTCTCGGCGCCTATGACGAGGCACGGCACGCAGGTGGCGCCGCAGTAGGCGAGCAGCAGTTTCTGCGCTAGGAAGCAGGCCCCGTGCGTCGCCTCGGCAACGGCGAGCGCCCGCAGCAGCAGGCGGCAGGGGCCCGCGCCCATGCGCGTGAACACGCCGACGTTGATGCTGTTGCCGACGATGTTGACGCCGCAGAAGATCGGAAAGATGATGCCGGTGAAGACCGTCATCAGTTGATCGGAGGACGTCATGGTGTCGTCGCAGTCGTTGTCACTACAGAGGAAGTGAATGGTGACAGCACTGGTCACCATGGCAACCGGTTCCATGTTGGAGAGTAGCGCGACGATACCCTCGGGTGTACAAGCAGGATGGCTGACGGGATGGCTGACTCTAGCTAAAGCTGGAGCTCCTATATATGTTACAGCTGCTCATGTCCTCATCAGCTACATGTTTACACACATCTCCTACACATCACACTATGAATAGAGATATATATCTCATACTCCATGTGCGTATCAGAGTGTGTTCACATCACTACGCACCACATCGCACTATGTATAGAGAGATATATATCTCATACTCCATGTGCGTATCAGAGTGTGTTCACATCCCTATGCACCACATCGCACTATGTATAGAGATATATATCTCAGCTCCATGTGCGTATCAGAGCGTGTTCACATCACCGGGTACGCTGGCGTAGTTCCATCACTAGGAAAACAGATATATATCTCCAACACCACGTACACAGGGTATCTCTTTATCCGCAAATAGACAGGTTTACCTGCATCAACACGTAAACAGATATATCCTTATCACCAGATACACAAGTATCTCTCTATCCGCAAATAGACATGTTTACCGGCATCAACACGTAAACAGATAGGTACATCTCCATCACCAGATACACCGGTATAGATTCAGCAGATAGATAGTTGTATCTCCGTCGCTCCGTTAACAGGTATATCTCTGGTGCACAGTCATACATTCACCAGCTACACAGGTGTATCTCCATCAGCATGGAAGTCTCTCAAAGCTCTAAATTGTACAGTGTATGAAGTGTATACGCCCTTCATAAGTCCAGCTATCCATGGCACGAGCCATAAATGACGTTATCCTTTCATTACATAAGCCACACACGTTCTAATCTAAGTATTATCTCATACAATGTATGATTCCTACTGGCTCTCATCTGTGCACGCGTGAAGCTACTATGGCTCTATGCTACTCCTAGTAGGATGGGCCAGGGACAGTCTGTCACCAGGTTAACAAGCCTAACAACGGTAAACACAACACTAACGTGCAAACACGTGCGAATGAGAGGGAAGGGGGTGGCTGGGAGAGGCAGATATGAAACACAGGCACGCAAACACACGCGAAGGTAGAGAAAGAATGGTCAAGAAGAAACGAGAGACACTGAGAGAAAAAAGACAACAACAAACAGGCAGGCAGATAGACCGACAGACGGATCGCTAGAGAAATAGACAGATATATATATATATGTATACGGAAAGTAAGATCAAAGAACGAGAGAAAGTCAAAGGGGAGGAGCGCGCGCCCACCCACACACGCACACACCGACACACACACACACCCACGCACACACACACACACACACACACACGC